AACCTACCCCGCCTCACCTATCATCAATACCATTCCACAAAAGGTCTTTGGGTGTGTTGTCTTTGTCCATAAACATGATGGGGAAAAACTAGGTGCTAGAGCCGAAAAATGTCTTTTTCTTGGGTATTCCTCAACCCACAAAGGCTATAAGTGTTACTGTCCCTCTACCAGAAAACTCATCATCTCCAAAGACACGGTTTTCTATGAAGATGATGCATACTATCCCAAATTACCCATTCAGGGGGAGAATTGTGGAGTAGAATGGCTAATTACCCCTGAACCTGAGACCAACGCACCTCCTAATCCTCCAGAACTCTATACACCGCACGAAGAAATCCATGAACCTGAACCGGAAACCCCTAAGCCTACACCTCAACCAGAACAGTCCAAAACCCCCACAAACAATACTCACACAATGGAAACGAATGCTGAAATTGATGCAGGGGTGACAGAGCACTCAAGATCTCAATCAAGTGAACAAGACAATAGTAGTAGGGTTCCTTCCATTCCAAGGCAGCAACATGATTCCAATCCGGAGTTGGATCCTGAAGAACTAGGATGGCCTATTGCACTTAGAAAGGGGGTAAGGTCTTGTACTCAGCATCCTATACAACGATTTGTCTCTTATGGCAATCTATCTGCTAGAATGCAAACCTTTGTGGTGAATAGCTCACAGGTGAAAATTCCAGAAACATTTCAGCAGGCCATGAAAGATCCTAACTGGAAACATGCAGCATATGAAGAGTTGAAAGCCCTGAAGGAGAATAACACGTGGGATATAACCACACTTCCTAAGGACAAGAAAGCAGTGGGTTGCAGGTGGATCTTCACACCAAAATTCAACCCTGACGGAAGCATCAACAAGTACAAAGGGAGATTAGTTGCAAAAGGGTACACTCAAACTTATGGGATTGATTATCAAGAAACGTTTGCTCCCGTGGCAAAGTTCAATACCATCCAAGTACTCTTATCCCTAGCTGCTAATCTTGACTGGTCCCTACATCAACTGGATGTAAAGAATGCTTTCCTAAATGGAGACTTAGAGGAGGAAGTATACATGGAAGTTCCAGATGGAGTAATAGCTCCACCTAATTCAGTTTGCAAACTGAAGAAGTCATTATATGGCCTGAAACAGTCTCCACGGGCATGGTTTGATAGGTTTGCCAAAGCAATCAAAAGGTTTGGTTACAACCAAGGACAAGCTGATCACACTCTTTTTGTCAAACACAATGATGGAAAGGTAACGATCCTAATTGTGTATGTGGATGATATAGTCATAACTGGTGATGACGAAGCTTCGATCTCTCAACTCAAGAAAGCCCTGGCTAGGGAATTCCAAGTGAAGGACCTAGGTCAAATGAGGTACTTTCTCGGAATGGAGGTTGCTAGATCCAAAAAGGGTATAAGTGTGTCACAACAGAAATACACACTTGATTTACTCCATGAAACAGGGATACTTGGGGCTAAACCGAATGGAACACCTATGGAAGAGTCATGCAATCTGGAGGTTAAACCAGAAGGGGTACTAGTTAACTCAGAAAGATACAGAAAACTTGTGGGTAAACTGATCTACTTGACCCATACACGACTTGACATTAGTTATGCAGTTGGGGTGGTAAGCCAATTCATGCACCAACCTCAGAAGAACATATGGAGGCTGTGTACAGAATCCTTTCCTACCTCAAACTCAATCCTGGAAGGGGAATATTCTTTAAAAGGGGGAATACAAGAAACATAGAAGTTTATACTGATGCAGACCATGGGAGAGCTATAGATAACAGGAGATCTGTCACAGGTTACTGCACCTATGTTTGGGGAAACCTTGTGACTTGGCGAAGCAAGAAACAGACCGTAGTCTCGAGAAGCAGTGCTGAAGCTGAACTAAGAGCTGTAGCTCTAGGGGTGTGTGAAGGAATGTGGGTGATCAGACTCCTGAAGGAATTGAGAATTCCCTATGAAGGGCCAATAAACCTCTGGTGTGACAACCAAGCTAGTATTGAGATGACAAAGAATCCAGTGTATCATGACCGAACAAAACATGTCGATATTGATCGGCACTTTATCAAAGAAAAGGTAGAAGGTGGTATCATCAGCTTAAGCTATGTGCGTTCGATTGATCAGATTGCTGACATCATGACCAAACCTTTAGCCGGAGTCAAGTTTGAAGGGCTTCGAAGCAAGCTGGGGATGGTTGACATCTACTCTCCAGCTTGAGGGGGAGTGCTAGAAAGCCCATGATACCCGCCTATCATTATGCATGAGAATAATATCCCTGATTGTATGCTGTCATTAATTGTAGTTATTGCTGAATGATTCTAACCGGATTATTATCACCGTCCAGACCCTATATATTGTAATCATCTCATATTGAATAATACAATGGAGTGAAATATTCAGAATTTGACAGTTTTTATTACAATATGATACAAAATCCAAATCCCACAGTATATTTGATGATGGCATTTTCATTTATACTCTCATTAGCTGCATTATCATGTCAAGAATGAATAGAGCAACAATCATTAAAGTGCATCTAATGATAGGAAGACAATGGAGGAGGCAGGAAGAGCTAACAAAACCACATGCATAATTACAAGTTTGTCGCCAAATGCACAAAGCAACAAACCATTGAAGCAAGCTAGGTCAATGATGAATAGAACTACAACCATCTCCTCCTGGCACTGAAATGGAAAGAGCATAGAAACAACTTACCTTCCAACCTTCACCGATAGATTGGAGTTTGGGCAAAACCTACTGTAATCGATGGATGGTTAGGAGGATGCAAGGGAGAGCAAAAGTTCGCGCTCAATTGTTTCTTACTAATATTCCATCTTTCTAATTTATTAAAAGGTATTTTGATCTTTTTTTCTTATTAAATTTATTTGTACTAAAGGACCTCAGCTTCTAAAAAATTCGCAAGGACCAATTCCCAAATAAATTTCCAAATGGGTATTTTTCACTGATTTTCCCAATTAAAAATTACTTTATAAAATTAAAGAAGCAAATGCAGCATTGCATAAAGTTAAATGACTAAAAGTGTAATTTTGTCTTTTTCAATATTCCCTCTAGTCTTACGTATAAATAGCAACTAACCAAATCGCATAGATTAAAATTAGTTAAAACTATAAATGTATAAGAAATATAAATTTTTTCAAATATATCATTATTTATTTGCATGGTGAGTAGGAAAAAGAATGAGGGAGAAAAAGATATTAGAAAAACGTGTAATTGATCAAAGTAAAAATAGAGAAAGTGCATCAAATTTTTTAGACAAATAAAAATTATTACTTATATATAGAACTAGTCCTATATAGAGAATTGTTGCTTAACCATAGGATTGGAGTGGGTATTAAGAATTTGAACTTCATGAGTTAAAAGAAACTAACAGATACACGTCAGAGAGCTACTTTTAATTAAGTCATAATATTTAAAGCACAAGAGTATACTTTTAGTCATTTAACTATATATATAATTTTGTTTTAATTTCTTAATTTTATAAAGTGTGTTTTTCAATCTTTTAATTCTAGCATTGTTAGCAAAAACAATACTAATATTGAAATTTTAAATTTTAGCAGTGACATATTAAATATATTTTTTAAAATAATATGATTGTTAAAAAAATTTATATCAATTGTATTAAAATTAAAAGTTTGAAATATTTTTTAAAATTAAAAAACTAAAATAAAACCTTGTATAAAATAAAAAGAATAAAAGTGTATTTTTGCAACATCATATCCAACCTCAATAATTAATCACCCCTCTTAGATTTTCTGTTTTTTTTTAAAAGGAAATTAGGTCTAGAGACTTACCAGAACTAAGGTGTGGTTCCAAGATAAAAAAACATTTATAGAGCTATTTATAAATCACCCATCACAAGACCTTTATATTAATAGTAGGATTTAAATTCATGATATTATGCATTATTATATGAGTAACCTCCTTACTAATCCTTACTAATTGGGCTAACATTTATTGGTCTCTGACATTATCTCTCTCCATGCGCAAAATGAAAAAGAGGCCACTTGCCGCCTTCAAACATGACAGATCAGAAATAAAAGATTTCAATTACAAATCACTACCAATTTCGAGGTTCACGCTGGCTGTACGTAGAATTGAAGCATCATAATCAGCAAATTCCAATATAATTATATGGAACTTGCGAATTAAGTTAATATTTTGGGGGATTGATCTTCAAAGGGCCAGTGATATAATGTAGCTTATTAGTACATCTTTAATATTAAATTTGTCAATTAAAATTAAAGTATAGTAATTGTACGAATCTCTAATAAAATTTTGAAGATGTATAATTTAATTAAGGAATCAAACTGCTTCTTACGTACTTATAGATTATAATATAATAACCATAATTCGGTTGTGTTATCATACAAGTCATGCCCTAATTAATTATAGAAATATGAGAAACTTTTATTCAGGTTGGCGTTTTTTTGCTCAGAAATAAAAGTTAGAGTTTTGTTATTCAAAAGAAATATTTTAAATTAACCAAAAAAGGAACATTTTAAAAGAAGTCAACGGTGTTTTCTGACCTAAAACAAGACAGTTATATTTGCAATCATAAAAAAATTAATAAACTAGTATTAATTATTAGGTCAATCATCAATAAGTACGAAAGTGTCCTTGATATTATTTATGTCGATAAAGAGGATAATATATATATATATATATATATATGAATAAAAAATAAAGCGATAGCGACAATAATAAAACATATTCAAACTAAAAGATTCAATTATAATTTTTTTAAACTATTAGAATTAAATTAAAATTAAAATTGCAACATAATAAGGATTAAAACATAATTAATTCCCTTTTCGGCCCCAAGAAAATATAATTCCCCTTTTATTTTCCCAATCTATTCCCCCCCCCCTTCCTAATTCAATTGCTTTAAATCTCAAACTCCCATGTGCACAATTTGCCTATATAAAGGGCCACTCATCGAACAAACCAAAGCAAAAATATAATATAGAAACAAACAAGCAATCATGGCTTCATATCGCAGCACTTTCTTCTCAATTCTTCTTTCCTTTTCATTAGTCATGTCAACCTTACACACAGCCATTGCTGCTTCATCATCTTCTTCTTCGTCTTCCTCCATCTCCACCAAAACCCTAAATACCTACAAGATTTTCATTAAAGGGTATTGTAGTTCCACCACATACCCTAAAAATTGCTACAAGTTTCTCTCTCCTTATGCCTCTGTGATCAAAACAAGCCCTCTTATTCTCACCAGAGCCTCCATTTATATTGCTCTGAAAGAAACCAGCAAGTCATCTTATGCCCTCAAATCGCTCTCCAAAGTCAAGGATCTCACTCACAACGAAACCCTAGTTATGAAGGACTGTCTCGAGAACGTTTATAGCTCCCTCTACAGAGTCAAGCAATCCGCCATGTCCGTCAAGGGCTTGAACGGCGGTGACAAATCTGGCGACGAGGCGTTCGAGTGGAGTAACATAAAGACGTGGATGAGCGCCGCCATTACGGGTTATACGACCTGCACCGACGGGTTCGGAGAGAAGATCGTGAGAGCTTCCCTGCAGAAGACGATCTCAAGCAGAGTCACAAAAGCTAAAGACTTGGTTAGCAATGCTCTCTCAGTCGTGAACAAGTTCACTTACTAATGAATTTGAATCCTCTTATTGTGATACAGTTTATTGAAAAAACTGTAAAGCTATAGGGAAAGTTTACTTGTGATCTGTATTGTTTTGATTAAGTTTTATTTTGGTCTTTATAAATTAAAAATAATGTGTAGTTATGTCCTTGTATGTAGTTTTTCTTCATGTTAAAACTCTGTGACGTAACTAATTACTATGTTTTTTTACCTAAAAGATACTGTTATATTATAGGGACTAATTAAAAAGCATTGAATATACAAGGGAAATGGTAAAAAAATTGAATGAATTTATAAAAATAAAAAATTATAATTTTCCTAAAGTTATTTTCTGTCCGCATGGTTAGGTTTGAAATGATTAAATCTGAGCAATAGGTTTGAAATGATTTCCTAAGTTATTTAAATTCCTTCAATATTAATTTGGATGGATAACCGCAACACACAAACACACACAGGAGCATGTGCTTTTGCTGCTATATACACGCAGATAATTAAGGTTCCTGTATGAATCTTATATAAGCCAATTCATAATGGAATTGGAGATCCCAAAAGTTCAATATATATATATATATATATATATTGTCATATTGAATATGAAAGTGCTCAACTTCTAATTTATATATTAAAGTTGTAGCGTAGTGGAAAGGCGAGTGCAAATTTGGTAGATGAGCACTATAATTGTCAAGTATATTAAATAGGACCATGTTGAAACCAGTAGCATGATAAGGTGGACCATGGTTGCAACTTTATTACAAACTAATCATGTTGAGAGATTATTTTTAATTGATGAGTCCCATAATATATACATAGAAAGAGAATGATCAAATAGTTATATAGTAAAATAATGAACATAATGTTCGCAGAGATGAACACCAAATCCAATCACCCATCTCTCCTAGAGTTTGGTGAAGCACATTTTGTGGTATAGAGAGGATCCGGTTTTTTTGGCATGTTAAACACAATACGCTCTTTGATTTCATACACTCCCTCCCTTTCACAATTTAAATCGCTTCTAGAAGAAGTGAAGAATAGTCTGATCCAAAATATAAATCACTTACAGAGTAAATAATACTTATTTAGCAATTTTATCTCTATAATTAATGTTTAGATGTAATTTTTTATATTTTTTTTCTTTACAATCTCATTTAATATGAGTAAAATTAAAAAAAAATTAATTTGAAACAAATTTAACTAGTTAATTGTCATTTTTTGATTTTGATTAATTAGTTAAAGTAACTTATATTATAGACGGGAGGGAATACAAGGAAAAAAAAACTGTCTTTTGATTCTTAAGAAAATTATTAAAAGTAGTTATTTTTTAATTATGCTATCAATTGATTTTTTTTTTGCCTGGTGAGCTTGTGGCTTCCATATGAGCGCATCATGATTGCCATTCTCTATGAATACAAACAAATATTAATGCACATGCGTGTGTATGATTTGATGCGACAGTTGATCAAAGCTGAAGGCAAAATATATTGGGAAAAAGACAGAAAAATGTTATTTTAACTTCATAATGACCAGAACATCCGTTAAATTTGCAAAATGCCATTTTGGTCACATAAGACCAAATTGGCATTATTATATCAAATGAAAAGACCAAATTGCCCTTCCTTTTAAATAATGTTTTAAAAGTATCACAGCCCACTGGCCAACCAATTGCCGGAGCTCTGACGACTGGCAAACAATTAGTCACCGGAGCTCCGTCAGTCAGAAAATTTCTTTTTGAAAATGTTTACAACTTCAGTATAACGGTTAACAACTTTTGTGACGCTATTAACAACTTCAGTATAACATTTAACAACAGGTTTTCTGAAAAATTCAACAAGTTCTGGTGGCCAGAAATAAATTTTTTGGAAATTTTTACAATTTCAGTATAACAGTTAACAGCTTTTGTAACGCTATTAACAACTTCAGTATAGCGATTAACAATAGGTTTTTGGGAAAATTCAATAATTGGATGCCGAAGCTCCGATGGTCGGAAACAATTTTCTTGAAAATTTTTACAACTTCAGTATAACGGTTAACAACTTTTGTAACACTATTAACAACTTTAGTATAGCAGTTAATAACAGGTTTTCTGGGAAATTCAACAAGTTTCGGTATCCAGAAATAATTTTTTTGAAAATTTTTACAATTTCAGTATAATGGTTAACAACTTTTATAACGTTATTAATAACTTCAGTATACTGATTAACAACAAGTTTTTCGAGAAATTCAGCAATTGGTTGTCGGAGCTTCGGCATTTTTTTAAAATTTTTTACAATTTCAGTATAATCGTTAACAACTTTTGTAATGCATTAACAACTTTAATATAGCGGTTAACAACAGGTTTTTGGAGAAATTCAACAATTGGTCGTCGGAGCTCTGACAGTCAGAAACAATTTTTTTGAAAATTTTTACAATTTCAGTATAATGATTAACAACTTTTATAATGCTATTAACAATTTCAGTATAGCAGTTAACAATAGGTTTTTGGAAAAATTCAACAATTGGTCACCAGAGCTCCGGCGACTGGAAACAATTTTTTTAAAATTTTTTTTATAATTTTAGTATAACGGTTAACAATTTTTATAATGTTATTAACAATTTCAGTATAACAATTAACAATAAGTTTTTAAAAAAATTCAAAAAGTAATATTTTTACAACTTCAATAATATTGTTAACAAGTTCTGTAACTCTATCAACAACTTTAGTATAGCATTTAACAACAGGTTTTCTTAAAAATTCGAAAAAAATGGCATTTTTATAACTTTAACAACTACTTTTTTTGAAAATTTTTACAATTTCAGTATAATGGTTAACAACTTTTGTATATCTATTAATAACTTTGATATAACAGTTAACAACAAGTTTTTGAGTTTATTAACGGCATTACTGAAGTTGTAAAAATGTTATTTTTTGAATATTCCGAAAAACCTGTTGTTAATCGCTATACTGAAGTTGTAAAAATTTTTAAAAAAATTATTTCTAGACATCGGAGCTTGTTGAATTTCCCAAAAACCTGTTGTTAACTGCTATACCAAAGTTGTTAATAGCGTTACAAAAGTTGTTAACCGTTATAGTGAAGTTGTAAAAATTTTCAAGAAAATTGTTTCCGACCACCGGAACTCCGCACGTCCAATTATTGAATTTTTCCAAAAACCTGTTGTTAACCGCTATACTGAAGTTGTTAATACGTTACAAAAGTTGTTAACCGTTATACTGAAGTTGTAAAAATTTTCAAAAAAATTATTTCCGAACATCGAAGCTTGTTGAATTTTCCAAAAAACCTGTTGTTAACTGCTATACCAAAGTTGTTAATAGCGTTACAAAATTTGTTAACCGTTATAGTGAAGTTGTAAAAATTTTCAAGAAAATTGTTTCCAACCACCGGAACTCCACCGTCCAATTATTGAATTTCCCCAAAAACCTGTTGTTAACCGTTATACTGAAGTTGTTAATAGCATTACAAAAGTTGTTAACTTTTATATTGAAGTTGTAAAATTTTTCAAAAAATTTATTTCCAGTCACTGGTGTTGAATTTTTCAGAAAACTTGTTGTTAACTGTTATACTGAAATTGTTAATAGCGTCACAAAAGTTGTTAACCGTTATACTGAAGTTGTAAAAATTTTCAAAAAAAAGTTTTCCTACCGACGGAGCTCCGGTGACCAATTGTCGACCGATCGCTGGCGCTCCGATGACTGCCGTTGCCGGAGCTCCGGTGACCGGCCAGCTAGTGGGGCTATGATACTTTAAAAACAATATTTAAAAGGAAGGGCAATTTGGTCTTTTCATTTGATATAATAATGCCAATTTGGTCTCATGTGACCAAAATGGCATTTTACAAATTTAGCGGATGTTCTGGTCATTATGAAGTTAAAATAGTATTTTTCTGTCTTTTTCCCAAATATATTTCAAGTTCATGAGAAAAGATGCGGGCAATTAATGCAGATATTATTAGGGAGAATTACAATGAAATCCCAAACAAAGAAAACAATTGAAACATAAGTCCCATAGGTTATCATTCTCACTATAAGACTTGTCATTATAGGCTGTTGAGGTTGTTATTGAGGCCTTTTGATAATTATTTTTCTTCCATGGACTTGATTGTAATTCTCCCTATTTATTATAGCAGCAGAATGGAACTTAACAGCAAAGCATATGATTATATAAGCACACTAAATTCTATTCACAGATCTTCATGTTTATGCGTTGTTATCACTTTATCCAACCCTCCATCAGTCAATTTATTTGACACTGGTATGATCTTATTTATAAGAAATTTTTAATATGTTTTATTGAAACTAAGAGAAATTTTAAATCTAAGTGACTTTGTTTTAAAAGTTAATGAATAATTTTTAACTTTATTTATATTTAGTATATATAGTACTCTATTTGATTCTCATTATAAGAGTCCTTTTAAAATAAGTTTTTGATACCTTTACTAGTTTCAATGAGCATTAAATATTATGTGTGTGTGTCTATATTTAATGATACTCCATCCGATTTAAAATATAAGATAAATTATATGCAGTTACGTTTTTTAAAAAATTAGTTAAAATTAGTTTAAAATAATAAATATATGAGGCATGTATTTTTTCCAAATATGTCATTATTAATGAAAAAAATAACGTAAAAAGATGCAACAAATGAATTAAAGAGAAAAGAGAATATATTGAGGGTAAAATTTAAAAAAAAAACTCATTAAATGTTTAAAAAAAGTGAATATTATCTTATAACAAAATCAAGTCCCTCCAACAAAGTTGATCTTATATTTTGAACTGGAAGGAGTAGTAGTTAAAGAATAAAAATTAATATGATGATAGAAATTAGTGTAGTTAATAAAAATAATATTAAAAATTACTTGAATTTGATGACAATTTAATAATTTTAACTGTTATAAATTAGTTTGTGGGTTCTTATAATAACAATAAAAAAGAGTACATCACAAAAAAATAACAATTTACAAAGCAATAAATTAAGAATAAAATTATATATTTATATAACAAATTCAATGAAGCGACTT